ACTCTAAAATTCTATAGTTGAACATTCAGCAAGTAAGACATTATATACGGAGAGTAAGTATTGCTAGTAGAAAGTTTTCCTTTTTATTTTATTTTATTTTATTTTTTATCAATGTATATCTTTTAAAATATGATAAAAAATGGCAAAATTTATAATTTTATTTCAAACTATATAAATATTTACACAAAGTTATATTAATAATTTGATATTCTAATAGATAATAAAAACTACTTCAAACAATATAGTTTACATAATTTATCTCAAAAGATCCCTTCGAAGCTTCATGACACATCAAATGGACTTGAAATTGCCTTATAGATAGCTCACCACCCAAAACTCTTAAATTTAGCCATTAATATTCAAGATGCAATGACAATTGATTTATTAGACAAGGATAATAATAATGAAATACCCTTAAATGCTACTTATTCATATAGTTTTATACAAAATATTTCAGAAATTAATCAGGTAAAAAATTTAGAAGTTTAAACAGTTATTAATAATATATAAACTTATATATACACTTTAATATTAGAATGTTAGATATCGACTTCAGGAAGAGTGTAAATCACTTTTCCTTAGAACGAGGAATAATACAAATGCATTATATGAAGAATTAATCATGAAAGTATGCAAAATTTCCAAAAGCGACTATTGCATATCATCATTAGTAAAGGATGTAGGTGGCTGGTACAGCACGTATCGTTATAAATTTCATCATACAATTTTGAATGTTGCAAATGAATTTTGTCAAATTTATGAATAGTAATTAATTAAACTTTATATTTGAAATTTTCAGGTAATAGATATAATGATTTAACAAAAGTAATATTAAATAATATTAATCAATTTTAGGGATGAAGAAGAAGAATCGTTTACTACTGACTTATTGGAATTTATTAATGAAGACATGTAGCAAGAAATACTCTACTTTCATTTAAAATTGACTAATTTGCCAATATTGAAAAAAGATCCTAAAATACTTTCGAAACTTGGTAGTTTTGTATACCAAGCTATTAGAGCCATTCTTATTGCTCAAAAAAATAGTAGAGATATACTAAATGCAATTAGAAAGTGTGATGAAGATACTCTTAACCTAAAAATACCAACGAAGCTTGACATAGTAAAATTATTGTCCATTAGAAATCTTTTGGATTGCTAAGCTTTATAGTATAAAATATTTTGCTATTGATAATGATTATATCAAATATAATTGAAATGAAATTATGTTTCAAGAAGGAATATTGCATGTCATTTAAAAGTTATATTCTATTGTTTTATTATATTAATTAGTTAAATATATTTTTATTTCTTCATTTCTGTTTCTGAGTTAAACATATCTTCTTTTCAGCAAATTTTATTAGTGTCTTGCTCTATATTTAAAATTAATGTAAGTTTATTTTTATTTTAGTTTTTTTTGTTTTCAGGTGTCTATTTTAGTAGTTTAATAAGAATATTTTATAAGGTCATACAAACTCTTAATTAGCAGATATCTGAGTAGACATAACACAAGCATTTAATATAGCTTTTTAAATATATATTCACTATTTAATTTTATTCTATTTGTATTAATTTAGATAATGGGAATAAAGAATATATATTATGAGTATAAAGAACATCTATTAATCTAAGTATTTAAAATATGCTATTAAGTTCATATGCTTAAATATAAATAATATTTTTTATGAATAATATAAAATGTAGTGGATTAAATATATAGGATAACCAAAATGCAGAAATAGGTGAGCGTATGATGGCGATAAGACATACAACAGAAGGAGAGAAGAACATATTTTGTATAATTTACACAGGATTTATAAGATCAGAGGTAGTGACTATATTTCTGATTTGGGATTATCAAAGAATGATATGAAGAAGCCTGGTTATGCTTATGGGATTATGCCATATATAGCACTCAAAGTTTTGCAAAATGTAAAATTTATATGTTCATAGATAGTAAATAATGTGGAAGTTTGCTAAAGAGCAAAAACCTTATAATAGTTTTAAAATTGTCGATGAATTTGCTACTCAAATTGTAGTAGTGGTTTAAAACTCAAGTTTTAATCGACTGTTCCTGAATGCTATGTGGTATTAGCGAATCATATTGATCCTAGTAAATAACTAGCACTATATATATATGTTGAAATCAGAGTTGGTATAGACCAGTCAATAGTCAAGCTTGACCAGACCAATTTTTCCAATTTGACCAGTCTAGCCAAAGGGTTTAGTATCAGTCAAATTGGTCAAATGATATTATGTTATATGTCTATTATTATATATACTATATATTTTTATTATATAACAAAACTAGTTAATTAATAAACTAGACTATTTGACTAATTTGACCAGACCAGTTTGACCAAAGACCCTTTGACTATTGACCAGCAAATTTTTGGTCAACTGCTTATTTGATCAACTCTAGATAAAATTAAATGATAGCTTTCTTCTAAGTTTTTATGAATTTTTTACATTTATACTATTGTTTTTTCTCGATCCAATTCTCTTAATAGCCGATAGTTTTATTTGTGTTAATGGAATATATTTATTAAGTGTAGATAGCAATGTTGTTATTAGATATGTTTAATTAGACCTGCTAATTAGACATAAGTCCAAATTAATCTTGGACATATGGGATTAAGACTAAGGCTAATTGGACTTGGAGCTAAGGCTAATGCTAATTAGACAAATGCTAGGGCTAATTAAAAATATTTGACTTAAGGCTAGTAACAACACTTGTAGATAGTGTTCGATTTGGTAGGCAAGACAATCCTTTACTAAACACAAGTTTAGTTGCTATTTTACTTTGTGGATTATTATGTAGTTGTGGTGGCTTATGGGAGTCTACTTTTTAATTCGCATCACCAGAGTAGACATTTTCTATACCATCAGCACTCTTATAAGTTTTATTACTACATTATTTTACGCATTGACATCAGATATTTGAATTGCAATAATATCTTTTACACCAATATTGGATATTAATCAAGGGAGAGCTCTTGCAATTCTTGGGTTTATAGGGCTAAATTAAAAGATCCTATACATATTAGATTTTTACACAATATACAAAAATATTGAGATCAAAGAGAAAGTGCAATTATTTTACTAAAGATACATATTTTTAAATTTATATAAGTTTTATAATTTACTTGCTACAATTATAAAAAAAACTTTTACTATTTATTCTCATTAATTTACTGGGTGAGTATAACGAATATTTAAATATGTTATTTATGTTCATAAATATTTACTATCTAATTTAATTTTATTCGCGTTAATTTAATCTGTAGTATAAAGAACATTTGTTAATCTATATATTTAAAATAAAGCTATTCTAAAATTCATAAATATATACAATATAATTTCACTTTATTTGTGTTAATTAAGATGCAGATATTAAAAACATTTGTTAATCTATGTATTTAAAATGAGCTATTCAGGTTCATGAGTACTTACTATTTAATTTCATTTTAGATTAGTATTATAATAGAATGCCGACACTTATACCATAGGTGAAATATTAATCATATGTTGATGGAATGTATTTCTTTTTAAGGATTATAAGAAGAGATATCTTTCTTTAAAGTTTTCTTTTTACAAGATTTGAATATGTTACTAATTTTAAATTAGCATATCGAATGTAGTACTAGAAAGTATTTAATCTTGCAAGTGGTACTATTCTAATTTTCATATGTCCATCCTAATTTGTACTAATTTTATTTGAGATAAGATTAGCTATATTTTATTAATCATTAAACAATTCATATAAATATTAGGATCACAAAAAAAAAAAAAATAAATAAATGCCTACGATTCTCAATTTATTGATAAAGTTTGCACATTTGGTTGTGATTAAACTTTTTCATAATAATCCCTTAAATACAGTATGAGAAATTACCTCTAGAAGCTGACAATTCAATTTACTGTATGCTTCGTTGGGGTGGGCATCAATACTTTTAATCAGTCAATATATCGAATTTTAAATTATTATCAGATCAATGTTCAGTTCAAGCAGATAATTTGCATCTGGTTGGTTTTTTTTGCTTTTATTTATTTCAGCATATTTCGAATCTAATTAATAGAAAGTATTGGTATTATCAAACAGGTTACTATTAAGAAAAGGCTAATTGCTATTATTATTATTATTATTGTAATCATTAGGGTTCATATGAGCAGATTTTTTTGATTTGAAGATTATTGAGAATTAAATGATAAAGAACCCTTGATATTATGTAATTGCCAGGTATAAATATAAAAAATATTAATTTTTTGTCTTTTAACGATTTTTATTTGTAAAAATTAAATTATTATGATTCTGTAATCAAAATAATATGTAAATTTATAATTTTTAGATTTCATTATTACTTTATTTTAATAATAACCAATATATATGTAGAAATTTGTAATTTTTGTGATTATTTTGATCGAATGATAAGTTAATTGGCTGGTGAAATTAAAATTAGAAAGTCATGAATACGAATACTCATTCACTATATAATTTTCTTCAAATTATTGCATTTATCTAATGAATTATTAATTGGCTAATGGAACTAAAATAAGCAAATCATATTCACTATAACTTAATTCCCTTCATTTCCTGTTTTACTGTAGCCCAAGTAAGTATAAATTATAGGCTTTACCATAACCTAATTTTTTCAAATTAGCCTAATGAATAGGAATTAGAACCGTTTAACCATATAAAAATTGTTTCATAATTTCTGGATGAATTATGTTGATTATGGGCCAAGGCTATATTAATGCTAGCTGAGTTAAATAGTTAATACGATTAAACAGTTAAATGATTAAAGAAATTTTAGGCAGTTCCAATCCTTACTAATGAACATGATTAATTCCAGACCTGAGACTTATTCTGTTAAATACCTTTTAGTTATCTATTAAATATCTTAAATTTATCTATTTATTATATTTTTAATATGTAGTAAAATCAAGTTTTTTTTTAATTACATTTGTTATATATCTTTTAAAAATAAAACAACAATCTGTTAAACACCTTAAATCGAGTTGTTAATATATTTTTAATATTTAATAAAATCAAAATATTAGTAATATAATATTGTTATTATTAATATATTATTAATATATTATTAATATATTAAAAAATTTTTATTTTATTATATTTTTATAATATCAATAACAGATTTTTTTAAAATTAATTAAATAAAAATAATTTTTTAAATATATTATAAACATATAATTACTATTTAGATATTATTAAGATAACAGAAATAAAAAAATATTTTTACAATATAATTACAATATTTTTAATATGTATTTAAAATAGATTTATTATATTTTTATTTTAATAATATAGTAACAATATAGTAAATATATAATAGTTATATTTTAAATATATTTAACAAAAATATAAGTTTCTGTAAAGTAATTTAAACTTAGGTTAATTAAATTTAGAAATAATTTCTGAAGATAGGTAGCAACAAATAGATTGATCTATTTTAAAAGCTTAGATGTATGCTAGATTCCCTTTTGAAACTAAAGATAATCTATTTATTATCAATATATTTAAAATATTAAATACTAGATATAATCCTCCTTTATAATTTACTCTTTCTGAGTATATTCTTAATGAAAAGATTACCAAAGTTAAAAAGGCAATTGATAATGAATTAGAATCTAAAAAAAATTTAACTTTAAGTATATTATATATATATATATATATATATATTTTATAATTTAATTTATTATTTAATAAAAGCACACTTAATCTGCAAATCTCTTGTACCAAATTTTTTCAAAAAATTTTTTAATAAAACTAAATTTCTTCAAAATTTTATTAAGTAAACTAAGCAAGTGCTCTTAAGTAAACTTG